TTAGGTACATTAAGGTAACAAGTAAGACCATGTTTTTAAAAATCATATTAATTTTGTCATAATATACACAGGCAGGCCTATGTTCCGCAGTGGGCTTTTATAAACTGCAACGGAGGGATAGATAATTTGACATGAAAGTAAGAAGACTTGATATGAGAACAGTTTTACCTATATATTGAATATCAAGAGGTTACAGGTTTAAATATAATTGGTAAATCCAATTGGGCATGCCTTAAGCGCATTAAAAAAATTACGTATAACATGATTATACGGAATTTTTAAAGTAGTTTAAATACATTTCGACAGCACTATCGGCTTCAACACCCTGGAAAACCATGAAAATGACACCCATGATGAAAAAATTGGTACCTACTTCAGCCACCATCTTGGATTTACATTTCGACTGCACTATCGGCTTCAACACCTTTGAAACCCATGAAAATGACACCCATGATGAAAAAATTTATACCTATTGCAGCCGCCACCTTGGATTTACATTTCGGCTGCACTATCGGCTTTAACACCCTCGAAAACCATGAAAATGACATCCATGATGAAAAAATTGATACCTATTGCAGCCGCCACCTTGGATTTACATTTCGACAGCACTATCGGCTTCAACACCCTCGAAACCCATGAAAATGACACCCATGATGAAAAACTTGATACCTATTGCAGCCGCCACCTTGGATTTACATTTCGACAGCACTATCGGCTTAAACACCCGCGAAAACCATGAGAATGAAAACCATGATGAACAAATTGATATCTATTGCAGCCGCCATCTCGGATTTACATTTCGACAGCACTATCGGCTTCAACACACTCGAAAACCATAAAAATAACACTCATGATGTAAAAATTGGTACCTAATTCAGCCGCCATCTTGGATTAAATTTCGACAGCACTATCGGCTTCAACACCCTCGAAAACCATGAAAATGACACGCATGATGAATAAATTTATACCTATTGCAGCCGCCACATTGGATTTACATTTCGACAGCACTATCGGCTTCAGCATCCTCGAAAACCATGAAAATGACACCCATAATGAAAAAATTGATACCTATTGCGGCCGCCATCTTGGGTTCACATTTCGACAACCGTATCGGTTTCAACACCCTGGAAAACCATGAAAATGACACCCATGATGAAAAAATTGGTACCTACTTCAGCCACCATCTTGGATTTACATTTCGACAGCACTATAGGCTTCAACACCCTCGAAACCCATGAAAATGACACCCATGATAAAAAAAATTATATCTATTGCAGCCGCCACCTTGAATTTACATTTCGGCTGCACTATCGGCTTTAACACCCTCGAAAACCATGAAAATGACATCTATGATGAAAAAATTGATACCTATTGCAGTCGCCACCTTGGATTTACATTTCGACAGCACTATCGGCTTAAACACCCGCGAAAACCATTAGAATGACACCCATGTTGAACAAATTGATACCTATTGCAGCCACCACCTTGGATTTACATCTCGACAGCACTATCGGCTTAAACACCCACGAAAACCATGAAAATGACACCCATGATGAAAAAATTGATACCTATTGCGGCCGCCATCTTGGATTCACATTTCGACAACCGTATCGGTTACAACACCCTCGAAAACCATGAAAATGTCACCCATGACAAAAAAATTGATACTACTTAGTTTTAGTACGTACTACTATTATTTATTCTGTGCTTTTAAAATATTGTAATAAAAAAAAATCTCTCATTATTATAATAATCAAGTACCTATTTAAGATACTGTAAGATTTGTATACTTGGGGAGTGCTTTTAGCCGGGATGGAAGATGTGATTTAGATGTGGACAGGCGTGTCGCTGCCGGGAACAAAGTCAATGGTGCCCTGACTGCGTTAGTCAAAAGGCAAGGCGTAGCGAAGAGTGCACGCCTTGCAATACATAACGCAGTGTTGGTACCGACTTTGTTATATGGCAGCGAAACCTGGGTATGCCAGAAGAAGCATAAAAGTAAGTTGAATGCAGTGGAGATGCGATCTCTTCGTAAAATGTGCGGCGTTACTATGGCCGACCGAAAGCGAAACGAAGAGATTCGCAATATGGCAGGTTTGAAAGATGACCTTATCACAAAAATTGATAAGGGCGTGCTTCGGTGGTTTGGGCACGTTGAGCGAATGAGTGAAGACCGAATGGTGAAGAAAATATATAGCGCGAAAGTTAATATTAAAAGGTGTCGAGGTAGACCGAGACTAACTTTCGAAGACCATGTGAGCAAATTGCTCTAAGAGGGTAGGGTCAAGAGTACTCGGATACCTAGACGTGCATGTATGAAGAAGATAATGAATCTGAAAGAAGCGAAAAAGATATGTAAGGATCGTGACACTTGGCGATCTGTTCTCTCTGGCTACCCCGTCAGGGATTGTGCGTGAACATAAGGTTTCACCTATTTAAATTTGGTTATACGAATATTGTGTATTTGTACAGCAATCTTTTTGAGCCGCTGCAAACAATCGAAACAATGTCCACTCACGACGGCGACTGACGCCGACTGAGTGAGTTAGTAAAGCACTCTGTGGATGTAGCTCAGAGTGCGGCTTCCGCATATTTACAGAAATAATTTACATACAAGGCCATCAAATCAACAAAAATTTCGCCATTTTCGAGGCGAAAAAAATTAATTATAGCTAAACAAAACAAAATTACACTGCCATTTACATTCAGTGGCTTCCCAAATGATAGATAAAGAGATTTAAAAATAGATTGAGTTAAACAATGGATATTTTCAAAAGTTATAGTGTTTACAAGCCTTGCGGACTTGATAAATCCACACCATAAGCCACTAAAACCCCTTTTTTTTATTCAAAAGACCGGCCAAGTGCGAGTCGGACTCGCGCACCGAGGGTTCCGAACAAATCCGTGGGTTAAAATTATTAAAAATATTTTCATTATATGATGTAACTAAAACTTTATGCGTTTCACAATTTTTCCTTTATCTGTGCTATAATACGTTGCTTCGTACCCAGGGTTGGCAATGTTTAAAACGTTTGTTTAAAGCAAGTGTTTAAAGCAAGTGTTTAAAACACTGTAAAAAATACATACCTGTTTAAAACACATTTTAAAACATTTTGTTTTAAACACGTTTAAAACATATATAAAAAACGTTAAGTTTTACAACATTATAATTAATCCTAACTATTTTTTTTTCGTACTTTACTATTTTGCTGCTTTCACAATTTTTATGGTATTTCTCAAATCTGTTTCAAAGGAACTTAAGAATATCCTAAATTTTTGTGCCATTATTCCAAATGCATTTTCCACAACTACCCGTGCTGTACTAAGCGACTGATTAAATATCTTTTTATCTCTATCTTGCAAAGCTGCATCTCTTACAAAAGGTGTCATCAAAAAAGTTTCAAGTTGAAATCCACCATCGCCTAAAAAAATATAAGGCAAAGAATCTGTTTCTCCTTGTAATGATTGTGGATTTGGTATATTAAGTTGGCCGCTCCTTAATAATCGAACAAAAGATGTTGCTTCAAATATAGTACTATCGGCATCTTTCCCATATGATCCAACAAAAATAAATTTATAATTGGCATCTACCACAGCCATTAAAACAATTGAATATTTACTTTTATAACAATAAAACATTGACCCGCTACACGGAAGGCACTTTATGGTTATGTGTTTTCCATCTATGATACCAAGGCAATGAGGAAATCCCCATTTTTGAAAAAACTCTTCTGCCATATTCAGCCAATTTTCCTCTGTGGGTATTGGAAGGACAAGTGGTCGTAACGTATTCCACAATTCTTCACAAACTTCAGTCACTATTTTCGAAACTGTTGAATTACCCAAACGATAAGAAAAAGTATAGTATCTTGTAGGTGTCTCCAGTTGCCAGAAACATGTAACAAAAAAAATTAAGTTGGAAGAAAACTGTTACTGAATATATCTATTTTTTTATACCACATAGGTGGCAAACAAGCACCAGTGGTTTGTATGTTTCCTCCACCATTGGTGGCGGAAGCATACAAAGTAATGCCGCAAAATAACGCAAAGTAACGCCTGAATCAATTAATTATCTTCTTTGTTTTAGTTCCAGCTTTAAAAGCAAAATGGAAAAATTTAAAAGATACTTTCAGAAAATTCAAGCAATCAAAACACAGCTCTAGTGGCCAAGCAACAAAAAAACTACAGAATTGGGCCTGGGCTGAACAAATATCATTTCTTGAATCATCTACTACCCCCAATCAAACGGAGAGCAGCATTATTCTGGACAATGAATCTTCTGAACACGAAGAAACAAGCCGTACAAATTCTTCGGTGGCAAATGAAGAGTCAGCCAATCAAGCTACACTCTCCACTTCTTACGACGCGACAACCGTACCAGAAAATACACAACAATCCGGCTCATCACATCAAATATACAGGCGACAGCGAAGAATAAACATGAATCCTGCAGACGAATGGAGTACTTAGAAAATAGAAGGAAACAAAACTCTAATTATGAGAAAGTTACGGTTAAATGTGACGGTATTGATTTGTTATTTTTGGGTTATGCTCTTTTAAAAAACTAAGCAAACGGACTCAAGTAAACGTTAAATTCGATATCGCAAAAATATTGATGGAAGCTGAGCTTAATGATCTTGAGACTGCTGAAAGAACCACATCTTCACGTACTTCAAACTACTCAAATGATATGACCATTTATGCTCCTGCTACTCCGTGGACCCACTGGGGAAGCAACACATCTTCACATACAACAACATACTCAAGCATGCATGCTCCTATTACTCAAAATGACAGTGAGGTAGCACATCAAGATTCTTACGACAGTAATACAACAAACATACATGCTCTTATTACTCCGGGAAACTACTCATTGATAAGTAATGACAGTAATACCACCGAACCTACTGATTTGAGTACATCTACATATTTTTCTCAATTTTCATCATTATAATTTTTTTTTTATTTTAATTTTGTAACTTTAATTTTAATATAGGTACTTACCTCAAAGTTAATCCCAGTCTTTCTTTGCTAGAAATAGCATCTCTAAACCTTTTATCTTGTTTAGTAATACAAGGCTTTATAAGGTTATGTAACTCTTCAAAACTGTCTGGTGTCATTCTGAAATAAGAATAAAAACGGTCTTCGTGTGACTGTAACTCTTTACATATTTTCTCCCAACTTCTTTCTTTTTTTATTGATATCATGCACCCAGGTACAACGCCTTTTTAAAGTAGTTGACCACAGTAAGATTAGTTCCTCTTCTGACTCCGAAAGCGACGACATTTTCTTTCGATTGTTATTTCTCAACTGTTCTAGTTTTAGGTTTCGCTAATATAGTATCGCGTAAGTGAAATACTGTTGCACAGCGAAACTCACGCAGCGGTTTCGCAGTTGTTGTTTCGCAGCGGAGGTGTGATATAGGCATCAACGTCAAAAAAGTCATTTACTTCTACTGCAATGTTGTGGAGCACTACACAAGCCATTATAATATTGGCCGTTGTCGAAAATTTGGTTGCTAAACCAATTTGTAAGCATGGAAACCATCTTTTCCACACTCCCAAACAAAAGTTCCACTGAATTTCTTGATTTTATTTGCACCTTATTAATCTCTCCTCTTGTGCAGTTCCGGGATTTGAAACCGGAGTCAATAAATGTCTGAAATAAAGAACTTTATTGTTAACAAATTAGCGATATTGTAGTGAGGTATTTATGATGCTTTGAAGACTACATGGCACATACTATTGATATAATTATAGTTTCATCGTTTATGTATAAAAAAATATGACTATATTATTATTTACCCCATCAATTTCATTATTGCATAACCTTATATTTAGTCATGAGTTTCTAAAGTCGGCTATCATGCATGCTGCCAGTCCAACGAACTAATATATCATATATCATCAAATTAGGACCACCAACTACGAGTGCTTGCACATTCAATGAAAAATAACCTTTTCTATTCCGGTACTGCTCTGTATGAATAATACCTCCAGGCTTGGTGATTTTAATGTGGGTGCAATCAATTGCTCATATAATATTTTTCAGTCCAGGTTTTCTGCCAACGCAACCAAGCTTTTCGAAATCGTCCTTTGTTTTCGTCAAATTTGCAGGAAACTTAATAAAATCTGGCATTAGCAATGCCAATGCTCGACTAACTCTCTTCACTATATTACACACCGTCGATTGAGAAATATGCATGATATCTTCACATACAATCGTGAAAACTTCCAGTGCCATGAAAACGTAAAGCAGTAAGCAACTGACACAGTGGATTTATAGGAAGCCCTCGTTGTGTCTCTGATTATAAAGAGTCAGTAATTCTCGGTAAAATCACATGTATCACAATGCTTTTGGTGAAATGAAATCTATTTTTAAAACAATCTTCTTAATAGTCACGAAATGGATCCACATAACGAAAGTAAACCTTGGGATTTCTAGGTTCAGCAACTTCTATCTCCTCTAATATATAATATTATCATCGATATTGTCTAAACCAGCAAAAATCGTTTCAATGCTATCCAGTTTCCATTTTTTATCTACACTAATATTATAAAGAGGAAAACTTTGTTTGTTTGTTTGTTTGATTGTAATGAATAGGCTCATAAACTACTGGACCGATTTTAAAAATTCTTTCACCATTCGAAAGCTACATTATCCACGAGTAATATAGGCTATATTTAATTTTGAACAAAAATAGGGTTCCATAAGATATTAGGGTTTTTCGGACACAAGGTGTAAAAAATCAACCAAAAAAGTTACTTATTTTGCGTACCCTGCCTAAACTATTAAAGATAGAACCATAAAATGTTCTAAGTAATTGTAGATCTTATAAATATCTACAAAAAAGTCCGCGACACACTATACCTATCTATGTCGAGTGAGGCACAATAACCATTTTTTTATTGAAAAATCTTGATTTTTTTTTGGACTACATTTAAACGCGTTTATTTTACTCATGCTATTAATCCTTATCAAAATAAATTATTTCGTCACTAAGTACAGTTAATGTAGATAATATTTGGTCTTTGAATGATTAAAATGGGACGTTTGGTTTTGAAGTTATAGCGAAATTAAAATATTACGATTTCTGCTGCACGGCCCGTTGCGAAGTAGGCGTTACCAAGGCCCGGTGAGCGTGTGGGAGGGGGAGTTTAGATCTATGAGTAAGGTACCCGCGCGGCTCAGTCGCGCGGTCGGCTCCCTACGCAGCGGTCGTGCGTGAAGTCTAATAATTTTCGTGCGATTTTTTTTAGGTTTCATTCTTTAAACTACACCTACGCAAAAGTTCTTCTCAGAGCTAAACAACAGTTCTTCTTAGAGCTAAACAACAGTTCTTTTCAGTGCTAACCAACAGTTCTTTTCAGGGCTTACCAACAGTTCTTTTCAGGGCTAACCAACAGTTCTTTTTAGAGCTAGAATATTACACGCTAATAACATTATCTTAAACATTTGAAAATGCCTAAGAGACCAAGGTCTCAACTTTCTAAACATAGTTCTCAAGCACGGGCAGCAAAAATACGTCGTATGGGAGAATCTTCACCTGAACGATCACAACGCCTTGCTGAACAAAATCAGAGAAACTCTCAGGTACGCGCACGAGAGTCGAGTGTCGAACGTTCACAACGCCTTGCAAAACAAAATCTGAGAACCTCTGAGTTACGTGCACGAGAGTCGAGGCTGGAGCGTTCCCAACGTCTTCATGAACAAAATGTAAGAACCTCTGACTTACGCCAACGAGAGTCGAGTGTCGAGCGTTCGCAACGCCTTGCCGTACAAAGCTTGAGAACCTCTGAGCTACGCGCTCAAGAGTCGAGGCTGGAGCGTTCCCAACGTCTTCATGAACAAAATGTAAGGACCTCTGACTTACGCGAACGAGAGTCGAGTGTCGAGCGTTCGCAACGCCTTGCCGTACAAAGCTAGAGAACCTCTGAGCTACGCGCTCAAGAGTCGAGCCTGGAGCGTTCCCAACGTCTTCATGAACAAAATATAAGGACCTCTGAGTTGCGCGAAAGAGAGTCGAGTGTCGAGCGTTTGCAGCGACTTAGAGCTCAGGCAGAGAGACAGCAGTTGTCCACAAATAGAGTTCGCAATCGAATTTTAGCTAACAGCAACAGACTAGCTTTCAGATATGATCCGCAGTTTGATTATGCACAACAAGCGTCCGTCCAAATCGGAGTCATGAATAAGATCTGCTCTAACTGCTCTGCCAAGAAATGGGCGGACGAACCTAATGGTATGTGCTGTGCTTCAGGTAAAGTTTGTCTTCCTAACCTGCAGGAGCCGCCACAACCAATAAAAAATCTTTTGACTAATAACCATCCATTATCTGGGCATTTTTTAACAAACATACGTAAATAGTCTTTTTCAAATGACTTCGTTTGGCGCAAAAGAAATCAGGGAAGGAAATTTTATGCCCACTTTTAAAATTGAAGGACAAGTGTATCATCTAATTGGTAGCCTTTTACCACCATCAGGCCAAAACCCACAGTTCTTGCAAATATATTTTATTTCGGATGCAGACCAGTTAACGTTGCGATCAAGCATCGCACCAACCTTAAAAATGGATTTAATTCACGAATTACAGACCGCTTTAAATAATCATAACGTGTACATACGAAGTTTTAAACAAAACTTAGAACTTAACTCCTCAGATAATTTAAAGTTAATTATTCATTCAGATCGCACTCCACAGACAGCACACAGAGGCAGATATAATGCTCCTACTGTAAACGAGGTAGCTGTTCTCTTGGTCGATGAAGACAAAGGTCCCAGGGATATAGTCTTACACGGTAGAGACGGGCAGCTCAAAAGAGTTTCTGAGCTACATCGGTCCTATGATCCACTACAGAATCCTATAATGTTTGTGACAGGAGAAGACGGTTATTATTTGACTATCCCTCAGCAGGGTTCTGCGCGTAATAAAACTGTTTCGTGTATGCAATTTTATGCATTTAGATTAATGATTAGAACTAACTCTTTTAATCCGTTACATTATTACAGAGACTTATTTAGTCAATATTGTGTTGACATGATGGCGAAAATGATATCGGAAAGATTAAATTATATTTGTCGGAATCAACAAAGACTGAGGGCTGATGACTACATTCATCTCAGAGATGCCTTAAATCATGACGCAAATGTTGACCCATCAAATATCGGTCAACATGTCATATTGCCATCGTCATTTACGGGTTCTCCGCGTTTCATGCACGAGAAAACGCAGGACGCGATGACGTACGTTCGAAATTATAGTAGACCTGACTTATTTGTCACTTTTACATGTAACCCCGAATGGCCTGAAATAAAAGCCGAGCTGCTACCAGGACAACGGTCTTTCGACCGTCATGACATAATTTCACGTGTATTTCATTTAAAGATGAAGAAATTCATCAAATTATTTGTCAAAGAACAGATATTCGGTAAAGTAAAATGTTATATGGCAAGTGTGGAGTGGCAAAAGCGCGGTTTACCTCATTGTCATTTGCTGTTCTGGCTAGAAACTAAAATACAACCAGATGAGATCGACAGTGTCATAGTTGCGGAGCTACCCGATCAACAAATTGATCCGGTACTACACGACATTATAACTAAAAATATGGTACATGGACCCTGCGGAGAACATAATTTAGCTGCACCATGCATGAAGAACGGTGTCTGCACAAAAAATTACCCTCGCCGTTTCATGAACGATACCCAGACCGGAGAGGATGGGTATCCAGTATATCGTTGGCGCGATACAGGAAATGGCGGTCGGAGCACTACGCTACAAATCAGGGGCAACATGGTGACGATAGATAATAGGTGGATTGTTCCATACTCCCCGCTACTATGTAAGACTTTTAACGCTCATATAAACGTGGAGTATTGCCACTCTGTCCAAGCCATTAAATATATATGTAAGTATATAAATAAAGGTTCAGATCAGGCAACTTTTAGCCTTAGAAACCCACACGATGAGGTCGAAAACTATTTAAATGGCAGGTACATAAGCACATCTGAAGCTGTCTGGCGCTTATTTGAATTTCCCATTCACGAGCGGCATCCTACTGTAGTGCATTTGGCCGTTCATCTAGAGAACGGTCAAAGGGTGTATTTTACACCAGGGACAGCTCATCAAGTTGTCCAAAACCCACGCAATACCACATTACTGGCATTTTTTGCTCTCTGTAATGAAGATGAATTCGCGAAAACTCTTCTGTATCATGAAGTCCCGCAATACTATACATGGGCAAATAATACATTCACTAGAAGGAAGCGTGGTGAAGATGTAGTTGAACATCCGGGGATAAAAAAAGATGCCGCTTTAGGTAGAGTCTACGGGATACATCCATCCCAATCAGAGTGTTTTTATCTTAGGATTCTACTGCACCACGTACGCGGTCCGACCTCATTTGTATACCTTAAAACTGTAAACGGTATTGTCAAAGAGACGTATCAAGCAGCTTGCCGTGACCGAGGTTTACTTGAAAACGATGATCATTGGGGTAACACTTTAAGCGAAGCTTCGTTATCACATTGTCCAAAAAAACTAAGGGAGTTGTTCGTAATCATACTTTTATTTTGTCAACCATCGGAACCATTGAAGTTATGGGATACTTTCAAAGATCAGTTCTGTGAAGATATTAGACATCGTATCAGACAACAAAATCAGGATAACACTTCACTCTTCACTGAAGTCATTTATAATGAAGTATTAATTGAAATAGAAAACAAACTTCTAGAACTAAACGACAAAAATTTAAGTGATTTTGGATTACCTTCTCCCGTTCGTACCCAGAATAATACTATTGACACAATAGTACAACAGTATAACAGCAATGATCTAACAGCGTTTGTTAATGACAATGTGCCAAAATTAGTACCAGATCAAAGACATGCTTATGAGACTATTGTGGACAGCGTGAACAATAACATGGGGAGATTATTTTTTTTGGACGCACCAGGAGGCACCGGAAAGACTTTTCTCGCAAATTTGATACTTGCTAAGATACGGCAATCAGGGAAGATAGCGATTGCAGTTGCTTCGTCAGGAATTGCTGCAACTCTCTTGAACGAAGGAAAAACTGCTCACTCTACGTTTAAACTCCCGCTATCCGTATCTTTAGATCAACGGTCTACGTGCTCTATTCGGAAAAATGGGCCTCTTGATAAGTTGCTGCAAGACGCGTCGTTGGTAATATGGGATGAATGCACCATGAGTCATAGAGCTCATGTGGAGGCCGTGGACCGTACTTTAAAAGACCTCCGAAGCTCTGCTAATGTCATGGGTGGTATCACTTTTGTATTTGCTGGAGATTTCCGACAAACGCTTCCTGTCGTCAACAGAGGTACGCGAGCAGATATTATGAAGGCATGTTTAAAATCGTCTCACCTTTGGACATCTGTTCAACATTTGAATTTGCGTACTAATATGAGAGCTCATCTACATGGAATTACGCATAGCAATTTTCCACAACAGCTGCTGAAACTGGGAGAAGGAATTTTTCCATCTTTAAATTTGGGCACCGATTATGCGGTTACTTTTTCTCTAGGGCAAATAGTCTATAATTTAGATAGTCTGATAGATGCTATATATCCTGACATCGAAAACTTACATCAAAATGATTTTCGTTGGCTGTGTTGTGGAGCAATAGTTTCTCCCAGGAATGAAACAGTCAACGAAATAAACAATTTAATTATGCAGAAAGTACCGGGTGAAGTTAAGTGCTATAAATCCATAGACACCGTCACTAACATCGAGGACACAGTGCACTACCCCCAGGAATTTTTAAATTCTCTGAACCCCGCTGGGCTTCCACCTCATGAACTGTCGTTAAAAGTTGGCACGCCGATAATGCTTCTCAGAAATTTAAGACCCCCCAACATGTGTAATGGCACGAGACTTCTTATAAAGGAGCTAAAAGATAATTTAATAGTTGCGAAGATTATCACCGGCCCTGCAGCTGGTGAATTAGCTCATATACCAAGAATACCCATGATCCCTACTGATTTGCCTATACCCTTCAAAAGGCTCCAATTTCCAGTAAAAATTTCTTTCGCACTCACGATAAACAAATCCCAGGGCCAAACATTCAAATTAGTAGGAATTGATTTACGAAAAGAATGTTTTACGCATGGGCAACTTTACGTTGCCCTATCACGGGTCGGGGCTCCCGACCATCAGTATATTTTGTTACCAGAAAATAATATAACGTCAAATGTTGTGTATAGAGAAGCTCTACAATAATAGCTTAAGTTTTCTATCCTAAAACAACAGGTTGCACTCCGGGACTTAACAAATAACATCTACAGAAAGAAAATCTGTTCAGCCTGCGGATAGTGACTGCTTCGTCGATGTTAGTGTCGGTGTCTGTGAATTGACCTGGGAATCATTTTGTTTGCTGACCGTGTCTTTCCTGGGTAGGCTTTTTGCAGCGGTAACCGACATCCACGCGGGCGGAGCCGCGGGCGACCGCTAGTGCAAAATAAACTCAAAGCAGTGCTTAAGGGGGCGTCCAAGTATTACGTAACGCAAATTGGGGGAGGCAGACGTTAAGATGCGTTACAGGGGCGGGAGGGGGGTTCGAACAACACTTTACGTAATGTTTTTTTTTTATTTCAATAAAAAACAAGGGAATTAAAATCTCCCAAGTTGGCAACCTTTTTCGTATATGTTTTACGGGGAATCCCTCGATTGTATGATACGTCATTTTTATTTTTTCCTCCCAAGTTAGCAACCTTTTTTGTCTATTATACTATATATTGTACGTCATTTTTATTTTGTCTTCGTTGTCAGTATTCATCAGTGTTTACGCAGAAGAACATTGCTGTAGTCAGTGTTGTTAAAGTGAGTTCATACTGTAATGTCCTCAAAAGGGAGAGATTTGCATCATCAGCTTTTCTTGGCCTATAAAGGCTCTCATGCTGACTTGCCAGCGCAACTGCGCCAAAAGAATGCCAACGAAATTTGGAAAACGGCTAAAGAAAAACAAAAAAAATAAAGAAAAGTTTATAGAACATATAAATGATGTTACATGTTCTATAAATGTATATAAATGATGATACTAGGTTTTTTTCGGTGGGTAGGTGTGAAAAAGTCAACAGCTGATTTGATAACTCCAGTTTATTTATTCAATTAAAAATAATTTAAATCTAATTTAAGTTAAATTACATTCAAATCAGTGAGTTTACACATTTTAGTTTACATTAATATTATAAACATATGTTTAAAGAAGATTTAAGAACTTACTTGCATCACCCCACAGCTCAACTTAGCTTACAAGTGAATATCTATATATACACATTTCAAGTAATTAAAAAAGCACATAATGGCAAATGTCACTAAGGTTGATCTGATGCAGAAGGAACTTGAAGTTAACTGGATGCAAAAGATGACTGAGTTTGAAAAACGCTTAAAAGCTGCATTAGTCCCATCCAACCCAACTTTGGTCCAGCTAAGTGAGGAATTTTATGCTTTTAAAGATCTAGTGAGCAACATGTTTAGTCTTCTGCAGCAACAATTTCAAAGGTGTACTAATGTAGTTGACGAAATAGATATGCGACAAAGGCGTAAGGTGCTTCTTTTTAATGGTATTCCTGGAGAGCCTGGATTAAATGAGGAACAAGAGGTACTAGCACTTATTAATAATAAAATGAGCCTTTCACATATAAGCAAGTCTTCCTTGAAACGCTGTCATCGATTGGGAGCTCCGGGAAATGATCGGGTAAGAGCTGTACTTGTCCATTTTCATAATCATGATACTAAATCCGAAGTCTGGAGATCTAAGGCTAAATTAAAGAATACATCATACACGGTATCGGAGTTTCTTACTAAAATGCGACAGAGTACATAGAAGAAGGCTCGCAGACATTTCGGCATGAAGAATGTTTGGACTCTTGATGGAACCATAAACATTAAACTCCCAGATAGTACCCGCATAAAAATTTTCACTGAGGAAGAGTTTGATATCCTTCTTACTAAATGGCCCCAGCCTAGTTCCTCGTCTGACACTGTGCAGCAAGGCCCATTAGAACCCAGTTGTCATCAAGATGGGGCCAGTCGTAAGCAAGTCATCCAGGCCGTTCAAAGTGTGGAAAGTAAGAAGACACGTCGTGTGGTGCCCAAAAAATAATTCCACTGTCGTCGAAGTTTGTGTATTGTATCTTTGTATCTTCGATTCTTAAGTTATTTTTTTTTCTTTTTTGTTATTTCCTTGTTTTTGTCATTATCAGTTATCATTAGTTGAAGGTAATTGTATTATTTACGTTTAGCTGATTACACACAAGTTCTACAATAGAGTAGATATACAATATGCAATAATGTAATACTGTTTATGTCAAATGTCAACAAAAGCAAAAGGTGCAAAATCAACTGAAGATCTGACAGCACAGAGTGTTTTCTTTTATAATTGGATTTACAGCTCTGGGTTCTAGCCCTTCTTAGCCTGAAGTTACAGTGTATAATAATTATCATTCATTGTACACTGCTTCACAATAATATTAATCGTGTCTGTCGAAACTTAATAATTTTGTATTCCTTTTTGTATTGCACCTACTTGCTGCATTGTTAGCAACTTTTTTTTTGCTTTTTTTGTGTCACACTGTAAAAATACTTTAAGGTTTTTTTTGCAATACTTTTTACAACTGGTTAATTTCGTTGGTAAATAATTCCATTAAATTATCGTGTTAATTTAGTCACTAAACAACCTAGATTAACCTTTAAACTTCTGTGGTCTTGTTATGCCTGATCAAGTAGTCTTAGTTTGTGTAGATTACCTTTTGTTATTATTATTATCTTTGTATATTTTATTCATTATGCTTTTTGCGATCAGTCAACTGTTGGGTGATATATTTGAAATTGAGTCGTATTTTTATTAGTTAGTTTAAGTAATTTATATTCTGTGTTATATAAGTATTTTTTAACATATTGTTTTATATTTATCATATACATATTATTATTATGTCAGCTACGTCGGATGATGAATCTTTTTATTCTGCACATGATTCAGATGTCTCGTTCGAGTCTTGTTATTATACTAATAGCTTGCCCTCCCTCCGCGATGAGCTTATTAATTTACTTACTCCTTGTAAAAATTTTCTAAATGTATGTCATGTTAATGCTCAGAGCATACCGGGTCATTACTCTTATTTTAAAGAAGTTTTTTCTATAGATTATGTTCATGCAATCTTAGTATCAGAAAGTTGGCTAAAGCCTTCATTAATGTCCAGCATGTATCCCTTAAATAACTTTGTTCTTGTGCGTAACGACTGGACTGAAAAAGGAGGTGGAGGTGTCGCCATATACCTGAGAGCAAATATTCCTTATAAAACAATTTTAGCTTCACCATCTCCTTATTCTGCGTCATTGGAGTTTCTGTTTCTGGAAATCGATATCAAAGGTGTAAAGGCAATTCTTGGGGTAGTATACTGTCCACCTTCTATTAACTTTTTCAATGCTTTTGAAAGCGCTCTCTCTCTACCATTTCATCTGAGTTCACGCACTGCATAATAATGGGTGATTTCAATACTGATTTGTTGAGAAATTCTTCTCGTTCTCAAAAATTTCGGTCAGTCATAGAGTCAGTCGATCTCCACGTTCTCCCCTTAGAGGCAACTCACCACAACATTGACACTGATGACTCATGGATTGATCATATTACCACAGCTTCTCCCGATTATGTTATTAAGCACGGACAACTATCGGCTCCTGCTTTTTCACGACATGATCTTACTTATATATATCATATAAGCTTGTTTCCCCTAAGCACAATCCCGCAGTACTATATATTCGTAATTTCGCTAAAATGGATTCTGATAAACTTAAAAGTGACGCATATCGTATGGACTTAACCCCTGTTTTTAAATCAACTTCTATTGACGATAAAGTCTCCGTGCTTAATAATATAGTTCTTAGTCTGTACAACAATCATGCTCCTAAACATCAAGTAAGAGTAAAGCGTCCACCAGCCCCGTGGATGACTAGAGCCGTAAAGGTGGCAATGACCAGGCGAGATCGAGCATTTGTCAAATTTAAGAAGCATCGTATTCGGGAGAGCTGGGATTGCTACAAAATGCTGAGAAACAGATGCAATCAGATGGTACGAAATGCTAAACGCCGTTATATCCATAGCAATATTACAAATTCTTCGACCGCCGATGTGTGGAAATTTCTTAAAACACTTGATATTAGTAAGGCTGTTACATCTGATCATGGTCCATCAATCACTCTGGATGAAATAAATCATCATTTTATCTCTACTTCTCCTTTGGATCCCACAGTTCGTTCTACAACAATAGCTTCCATTCAATCCATGCCTTCTCCTCCTATTCCTTTTTTTACTTTTTACCTGTGACTGAAGATGAGCTAGCTATTAAATCCAAGGCTGTGGGTTGCGATGAGGTTAGTAAGGTTATGATATCCATGATCCTTGAGTGCCTTTTGCCTGCAATCACACATATCGTAAACTTTTCCCTGGACTCAGGACAATATCCTACACAGTGGAAAAAAGCATTTGTGCGACTACTTCCTAAAATACCCAATCCCTTATTACCTACCCATTTTAGACCAATTTCAATTTTGCCGTACCTATCTAAAGTTCTGGAAGCCTGTGTTCACAAGCAAATCTCTATGTTCATAACCAAACATAACCTGCTGAATAAATATCAGTCAGGCTTTCGAGCAGGTCATAGTACTACCACTGCCTTGATAAAAGTCACAGATAACATTCGAATGGGAATGGATGAGCAGAAGCTTACAGTGGTAGTACTTGTTGATTTTTCAAATGCTTTTAACACAGTCGACCACTATATCCTTATACCCTTCTTAGCTAATCTTAGATTCTCAATCCAAGCTTTGGAATGGTTTTCATCCTATCTTCGCGGCCGCCAGCAATCAGTTCGATTAGGACAACAGTCTTCAACATGGGCTGACATTGAAACAGGCGTGCCGCAAGGCGGAATACTTTCTCCTATAATGTTTTCTCTATTTATAAATTCTATTACTTCAGTTCTCAACTGTTCATACCATCTGTATGCAGATGATCTTCAGCTCTATGTGCAATCTAGTGTTAATGACATTAACCATAATATTCACAAAATCAACCACAACCTTGATGCCATAAGAGATTGATCGTACAGACATGGTGTTTCGGTTAACCCTTCAAAATGTAAGGTAATGGTTATAGGTAGTAGCAGAATATTAGCCAAGATTAATAACAATGATCTTTCTCCCGTATTTTACAATGGAAC